TTGACTGTGGCTCATAGTGACCTACAGCTAACAGATCCAAACCCTAATCTGTCTTATGTTAGTCTCACCATCTCAAATACAACTTGAGCCCATTATTATAATTACTATGTAAATCCATCTTGTTGAGGGTCTTTCTCTTTTATGTGGACACTCCACCTTTCCAAAGCATCATGTCCTTTTCCAAGAGTTGGGCCCTTCTAACAACATGCCCAAAGTATGGAATGTTACATTTCTTCAATCCTTGTTTCCAAGGAGCAGCCTGGTTACACTTTCTCTAAGACAGACCTTCCCTCCCCTTCCAGTCCAAGGAATATTTAATACTTTGCCCAATACCACAACTAAAAGGCATTGACTCTATTTTTCTTTGTCATCTTAGTTATTGTTCAACTTTCAAATGCCTAGACAATGGCTTGATCAGGCACACCTTAGTCTTTTAATGGACATCCTTGCTCTTCAGCACTTTGGAGGGGTCCTGACAGCAGATTTGCTCAATGTGATATGTCTTTTGATTTCTTGACTTCTAGTACCAGGGATATTGATTGAGGATTCAAGGGGAAAAAATCATTGACAGTTTCAGTCTTATTACCATCTATCATGATGTTGGCTATTGACCTGGTATTGAATATTTTCATTTTTTTAATATTGATATGTAATCTATATTAAAAGCTGAAGTCTTTGATCTTCTGAAGCAAGTACTTCAAGTCCTCTTCACTTTTAACAAAATTGTACCGTCTGCATAATGCAGGCTGTTGATGAGTCTTCCTTGAGTCCTGATGCCACATTCTTCTTCATAAAGTCCAGTCTATCAAATTCTTTTTCTCAGCATACATATTGAATAAGTGTGACTAAAGATATAGCCTCAACACACACCTTTCTTGATTCACTATAAAACATACAGTGTATCTTTGTCATGTTTTGACAACAGCTTCTTGGTCTAGGTTTCTCATGACCACAATTATTAAGCATTATAGGATTCCCATTTTTCCCAGTGTTAGCTATAATTTTTTGTGATCCGCACAGTTAAATGACTTTGTGTAGTTAATAAAACACAAATAGACATTCTTCTAGTATTCTTTGCTTTCAGCTAAGAATATTGCTTATTTAATCTGAAATAGCAATGATTTATCCCTGGTGCCCTGGCCTCTGCTAAATTCAGCTTGAATTTCAGACTGTTCTCTGTCAATGTACTGCTCTAACCATTTTCTTGGCAATCTTAAGCAAGGTTTTGCTTGCATGCAATATTAATAATATTATTAGATAATTTACACCTTTTGTCTTTTTGAAAATGAAAGCAGATAGGCTCCTTAGTCATATTAAAAAAAACTCCTTTCCGTGGAGCCAGAAATACCTGGTAGCTGACCCTCCCTTGGGTTTCCAAGGCTGTAGATTGCCCAAGAGGAGATTCCCTGTCTGTCTGCAGTGGAGATGATGGGAGAGTCAGACTTCCTGAGAGGAGTGGTCTTTGAATTAACAATTAAATTCCCTAAAAACTAGGCCACCAGAACTGCTGCTGTTCTTCAGATGAGAAAATTGAGGCGTATAGAAATTGGATAATGTTTCTAAGAGTACAAAGCTAGAAAATAGCAGTACTAGGATGCAAATCATGGCTAGTGTGACTTTAAAATGTATGATGTAACACTCTTCTCACTTCCAAATGAAGTCTGTAAAGAACTGTCTTTATCTAAAGATATTTTTACCAAATAAAAAAAAAGATATTTTTACCAAAGACTGAAGCTCTCCTGGGCAAAAGTCCCTCCATTTGGGGATTCCTGCCACCACAGGGCAAACCCAGGGACCAAACAGGAAAATAGGGTTTGGGGAACAAGAGCTTCAAGCAGGGGAAAGACTCAGTTTCTCAGTTGACTCAATGAGCTGCAAGAAAGAGAGCTGACTTGAAACCCTCCTGGACAGAAACTGCTTGAGTAGGTACCACTAATCTCATGCCATTCCAGAAACAAAGGAAGGCATTAGACTTCAGGACAGAAGACTTCATCAGGTGAGACACTCTTTCCCAGAGCCAGCACTTTTAGGTGCAAGGGAGAGAAAGAACTGAAACTCCTCTGAGGAAAGGTCCCTCCATTTGAGGATCCCTGCTGTCACAGGGCCATCCCAGGGACCACCCAGGACAATAGAGTATGGGATAGAGAGATACAAGTAGGGAAAAGATTCACTTTTTTCAGCTGGCATGTTGAGCTGTGAGAAAGAAAGTTCACTTGAAAGCCCCCTCTGCACAACCGGCTTCAAACTACTTAAGTTGACACCCCTGATTGTCTGTCTGCCCTCCAGAAACAAAGGAAGGCGTTAGGTTGGTTTCAGGAGAGAAAACACCATCAGGTGAGCCAGCATTCAGGTGCAAAGGAGAGAAGGGACTGAAACTTCACTGGAGAAAGTTCCCTCCATTTACGGATCCCTGGCTCCCTGTGGCCACCCCAGTGGACCACACAGGACAATAGAGTTTAGGACACAGAGCTACAAGCAAAGGAAAGATTAACTTTCTCATCTCGCACTTTGAGCTGGGAGAAAGAGAGCTGGCTTGAAAACTCCCCTGGACAGAAAGCGCTTAAGTGGAGCACCACTCAACCACTCCACAGACAAAGGAGGACATAGAGTTTGGGAGAGGGACTATAATAAGGTAAGATTCCTGCTGGACTGCATTGCAGACCAGAGGTAAACTGAAGGACTCTAGAAAGGCAAATTATCCCAAAAAGGACTTCTAGTAGAATGAGAGGCGCACCCAAGACAGAACATTTTAATCTGGTAACTAAACAGTAACATCATAAACATAAGAACAATCAGCAACTTATGCAGATGAAATAGAAATGGCCCTTCTCAAGAAAAAATTCATATAATGTCAAGAAAGCAGCATGTAGTTTTGAACACTGGAAAGAACAAATTAAGCCTTCTCAAAAAAAAAAAGCAGAGCATATTGCAGAGCCAAAGAATATCCTAATTTTTGAAAGTCAGAAAATCTTGATATGTAGGCAATTGAACATATATAATAGAAGGTACAAATGATAGAAGTAGCAGTGGAAGACAGAAATAAAGTGAATACCCCAGGGGCAGAGAACCAGAAGAAAGATACTGATGTGGAATTATTTGAACAACTACAGAAGAAGGTACAGATGATGAAAGAAACAGTGGAAGCCAAGGAAATACTCCAGAGATAAGGAGAAACTTGTACGAATACAGAAGAAAATGCAAAAGATGGAAGAAAGAATTGAGAGGATAGAGAAAAAGGTACAAGAACTTAAAAAATTATCACAAGAGAGATCGGGTACAGCCATTCCTGGAAATACCAGGAATGAATTAAAATGCAAAAATGGCAGAAGTGTCCAACACGTCAGAGGGACAAAAAAATACAGTGGAAGAGAAGGAGCAGAAAGTCAGTGAGCTAGGTGACAAGAACGTCAATGGAAACATAATAGAGAAAAAAATCAGAGGTGAGACATAAAGAAAATGCAGAAAGCATTAGAGTCTTGTGGGATGACATCAAAAGTAACAACATATGTGTGATTGGAATTCCAGAATATGAGGGGGACAGGGACATTGTTGGGAAAATTGTGGAAGAGGTACCAAAAAACCTTCTCAGGTATTATAATGAATGGAGGAATACACATTCAAGAAGCTTAGTGAACATGAAATAGACTATACCCAAAAAGAAAACATCAAGAAATATCATAATAAAATACTCCAAAATAAAAGATATCGATAGAATACTAAAAACAGCACAAGAAAAACAGAGTCACCTATAAAGTAGAAATAATTATATTAAGTTATGATTTCTCAGCAGAAAACATGCAAGCAAGAAGACAATGGGATGGCATATATAGAAAGTTGAAAGAACAATTGCCAGCCGAGGATCCTGTACCCAGCAAATCTGTCCATCAAACATGAAGGAGAAATTAGGTCATTTACAGAAAAGCAGGAACATAAAAGAATTTGTGAAAACAAGGCCAAATCTACAAGTGTTAAGGGAAGTCATTTCCACAGAGACACCAAAGGAAAGTAGATGGACCATAGTAACCAGAAACAAATGAAAAAGAAAATCAGCAAAGAAGCAACTATAAAACCTAACCTATCAATAATCACACTAAATGTGAATGGACTAAATGCACTAGTTAAGGGGGGGAAAAAAAGAGAAGAAGCAAAATGAATTAAAAAGAACAAAGCCCATCAACGTGTTGTCTACAAGAGACACATGTAAGAAATGAGGAGAAAGATAGATTAAAAATCAAAGGCTGGGGAAAACTATACCAAAAAAATACCATCCACAAAAAAGCATGAATGGCGATACTAATCTCAGATAAATAGACTTCAGAATGAAAACCACCATAAAAGATAAGGAAGGGCATTATATAATGATTAAAGGCACAGTAGATCAAGAAAACCTTGGTCAACATCTACCTATCTACCATAAGGTCGCACAATTTGGGGTAAAGGAAATGGGAAAGATTGGGTGGGGACCTGAGGATGGGGTAATTGTGGGTGTAGTCCAAAGGTGATTACTTTGATCAACTACCATGTATGGGAATGCTTGTGTGAAACATAATGTCAGTGAAGGAAACTGTGAAACACCACACACAAACTCCAAAATGCTCTGTATACTGTATGGGGGAGGTTGGGGCGGAGGAAGACAGTAGGATAAACACTTGAGTATAGTAGAATTTTAGATTATAAATGGCTATGGGGTCTTATGATATTTTGTTTCCCTCAAGGACTATACAAGCAATGCATGTTTTTGTCCTATCTCAGCTTGTTTACCAAAAGGGCTTGTGCAGGAGTCCAAACCATATTTTTAAAACAAATACTATTCCTGTGGTTGTTGCCACTGACATTGCCTCCTATTAGTGCTGTTTGTTCATGGGCAGGTTGGAGGTCAAACACATGATGAAGTACTTTGCCTTAATTTTTTTTTTCCCAAGGACCTTAAGTAATTATGAGAATCAGAGTAACCTATAGCAATTGATATTAATTATATCTGAATTTTATTTTGTTTGCAGAGAATGAGAAATCTGTTCAGTGGAAACTGGGAGCTGATAAAGAAGTCTGGGTCTGGGTGATGGGCGAACATCATCTAGACAAACCCTATGATGTGCTCTGTAATGAAATTATTGCTGAGAGGGCCCGGCTGAAAGCAGAACAGGAAGCCAAAGAGCTCAGGTATGAAACCTACAAACTAGTGAGATAGTAATAGTAATCTTAAAAAAGGAAAGATGCTTCTTATTTGTGCATGGTATCTGGTGGTGGAGTGAGGTGGGAATCTAAGGTCACATGAATAATTTTTATTTAGAAAGCTGCTTGTCTTTCCAGTATATGCCTTCATTCCCATAGTGCTATCAAATCAGCCATTGCACATTCCCTTTTTCATTCTGGTTAGATCTGCATGCATCTGCATGTTCCTCAGTAGTTATCAATGGCTTCAGTGCAATAATTTTAGAGCAGTGCAGGCCAGCACAGGTGAGCATGAAGAGAAGTCAGAATTTGTCACAATGCCATGACAAATCGATTGTGTTGCTATGGGGAGCAGAACAGGTAGGCCCTTAGCTTGGCAGGTTTGAGTGCACCCAGAGTTACCTTGGAAGAAAGCCATTGTGAACTTCCTCAAAAAATCAGCCGCTTTAAAACCCTCTGGATTTCAGTTCTATGCTGGCGCACGTGAGGTTTTCAGGAGCTGGAATTGACTCAATGGTGGCTAACAACCACCATTACCCCTGTAGATGTTATTGTTGTTCTTTGATGCCATCAAATCTAGTACGGCTAGCTCCTAGCCACCCTATGAATAACAGGTCCGCACCCTGTCCTCTCCTGTGCCATACTCACCATTACTGATATACTTGGAATTCAAGGAAGAAGAAGCTTTCTGTCCAGGAGAGGCAGGCTGATACACAGCTAACCACAGCCAACACGGGTTGCGGTAAATTCTGTTATTAAGGTATAAGCAAAGCATTGACTGAGAAAAAGTAATTGTAAAATGCAATTCACAGAAGAGTGAAATCTGAACCAAACTTTGAAAGGTACAAATAATTTTCCAGCTACAGAACTTCAAGAAGAAAATTATAGGCAGAGGACACAGTGTAATCCAGATTTCTGAACTTGAACCTACAAAGTTGTTTGGGGACTGATAAGTTGTTCTGAGTGTTTAGGGTGTGTATGGGTTAAGGCAGCAAGGGGCCCCCTGTGTACTGCCTTGAAAGTCAGATTGAGCAATTTAGACCTTACTCTTTGGACAGTAAGGATGACTGTAGATAGAAATGAGGTAATCATTTGGAGATAAAGGAAAAGAACTCAAAGCAGATAAATCATTTCCTCCGCTAGGTGCCTATGATGGTCTCTGCAAAGCCTGTTCTCTGTTGAGTGTCTTCTTCTGGCTTTGGGTAATAGTATTGACCCCCCTCTAGTGGTTTAGTGGTAAGGAATTGTGCTACTAATGCAAAAGTATGCAGTTTGAATCCACCAGCTGCTCCAAAGGAGAAAGATGAGCAGTCTCCTCCTATGCAATTTATAGGCTCTGAAAACCTGTTGGGGGGGGGTCAGCTATGAGTTGGTTCTTACTTAATACACCTAATAACAACTCTGAGCTAGTGACTGTACCAGGTGGAAATTTGAAAAAACGTGCAGACTTCAGCCCAGCTCCTGAGGGCTAGTAATGCTGCCTACAAGCTTCTGTACTTACGACACTTAAATGTATGACAACAGCCCAGAATAAGACGTACATTACAAAGAGGACTGGGAGCATGGGGGAAGGTAATTCTGCAATAATGGATGGATATTTCTTTTCTAAAAAAGTGAACTGAGGGAGGGGGAAGGGAGGGAGCAGGGGTAAAATGTGCAACAATAAATGAATGAAAAATCTAACTTTTCTGTAACTTTTGTTAAAATCACAATTAAAATAAAAAAATTATTAAAATCACAGAATGAAAAATTTTATTATAATAAGTATGGAGATATAAAAGGACTACTTATTTACTATGATCATAGGAAGATAATTTCCTTTAACAGCTTTGCATCTGGAGAGACTTAGATTCAAATCTTGACTCTGCTACTAAATGGTTTTGGAAAAAGGATAAAGGTTTTTGAGCATTTTAAATAAAAAATAACTTACCTTCCTCAGAGGGTTGTCATGAGGAGTAAGTAACAGTTTTTAGGATGCCTGACAAATGGCCTGGCATTTAAAAAGCACTTGGTAAGTGATGTCTGTTACTTTTGACATGTATTTTAAATATAGAAAGCATTGGAAAAACTGTCAATGTTGAAAAATGGATTTTTTTATAATTTAATTTTGGTTCCTATTTAGAAAACTTCAAGCCAATAGCTTGAAACCAAAATCAGAACCCGATGATCTACAAGCACCAAATAACTGGGAGACTCAGCACATCTCAAAGAAAGTGAGTGAGGAGAAGGAGCTGGGGCAGGGATCTCGACCAGCACCGAGCCCGGGAGAAGAGAAAATCCACGTGAGTCTCCCGTATCTGTAAGAGGCCCAGAATTTCATCACCAAGAGTCTTAATTTCCTAGGGCTAATGTAACATACACTACACATTAGATGGCTGACAGCAGTAGAATTTATTCTCTTCCTAGTTCAGGATGTTAAACTCCATTGTCATCGAGTCTTTTTTGATCCATAAGAACCCTAGAGACAGAGTAGAACTGCCCTTGGAAACCCAGATGAGGATTCCCAAGGCTGCCATGTACACAGGAGTAGATAGCCGTGTCTTTCTCAGCTGGTAGGCTTGAACTATCAACCTTTTGGTTAGCACTTGAGCACTAACTACACCACCACACCCAGGGCCAGTTTGTCGAGTGCTAGAAGTCTGACTTTTGGGTACCAGCAGGGCTCTGCTTCCTCCAGCTATTCTAGCTAGTCTTTGCTTTTTCTAGCTTCTGGTGGCTCCATGTGTTCTTTAGCTTGTAGGTGATTCATGTCACTTTCAGCCTCTGTCTCTCTATTATATATCCTTCTGCCAGGCGTCTGTATTTCTTTCGTAAGAACCTCAGTCATTTGATTAGGACACACTCTAATCCAGATGGCCTCATGTTAATTTGATTATAACTGAATAGACCTTATTTCCAGGTAAGGTCACATTCATGGAGATGTGGGCTAGGACTTAAATACATAATTTTAGGGGACACAGTAAATCCTTCATACTGGTGGCAGTAAAACTATTAGTGACATTGAGATGAAGGTAGAAAAGGCCAGTGTATCGAGTTTTCTTTCCTAGGGAAGACTCCTATTGTTAATGTCCTGCTGTGGATTCCATTTTGAAAGATTTGGTTCATTTGCCACTTCTAGAAAAAAAAAATTAAGCACCCCTCCTATAAGGATAATATTTAACATTTTAAAACTACTTTTATTATTTTTTCCTGTTATATATTTTCTGTAAAAAGTGTTGTCAAAATTTTTCTACAAAGGATCAAATAGTTAGTAGTTTCAATTTTGTGGGCTATATGATTTCTGAAACAATCATACATGAACAATGAGCCCAGTTGTGTTCTAGAGTCATTTCGTTTGTGGACCTCTGCTGTGTTATCTGCTGACACATTCATGACTTAGCACAATGTTCTATTAAGTCTTCCCTTATATACATTTAAACTATCAAACTCATTGAGTCAGAACTGACTCAATGCTGGCCCTCCTTCAGGTTTCCTAAGGTTATAAATCACACCGTAGAAGAAACTGCCCATCTTCTCCCCTAGAGCTGGATTAGAACTGCGAGAGGGCCATGCCCGTGGGGTTGATGGGTGCAATTTTCCGTTTCTTTAACCACCAGGGCACCCTTTTGCCCTTTATAGGACTTTAGACAACAGTGCTCTTTTGGCTTCATAGATTATGTCTGTGATTATGGTGTTTGCTATTTCTCTAAATATTAGAATGTTTCTCTATATACACTTTAATTTGGTTTTCATTCTCTTGCCCTTCAAGTGATTTATAAGCTCAAAAAAATTTGCTCAAATATAAATTTTTTGGCCTATGTTTGCTAAAATCAGATTATGAACTGCTTTATTCTGCTAGCAATTTAATTACACTGAGCATTAACAGGGAGTTTGCAGTAATTGAACTTCCATGCAAGTCCCAGCTCTGCAGGTCCAGCTGCAGGGACTCTTGTTGTCTTAGCACAGTTAGATGGGAGCATGTCATCTGTCCCGCAGAACTCCAGGGCTTGACAATATCACAGTAACTAACATGGGTTTTCTGAGGGAGGAAGATGTTCAGTCTCCTCCCATGCATGCAATTTACAGCCTCAGAAACCAAATAGAGTGTCAGCTATGAATCTATTCTGATTATGATTATTCTGGTTATGAGTTTGAGTTTGATGTTCAGATGAGGGTTACTATGTGGCCAAGCACACTGGTGTCTGATTTAATCTTCACAACAGCATTATGAGCTAGGAACTATTTGTATTTATCCATTTTACAGGCAAGGAAACGGGCTTAACTGGGATTCAAAACCAGGCCTGCAGGACTCTCAAGGTCACACTCTTAACTGCTGTCCTTTGTGGCCTCATTAAGATGAAGATAAATAGAATAATGTGAAAAGGCTTTAAAAAGAATTACAGACCGGAGGTACAAACTCTTTAATCTCAAGCTCATTGCTTTGGAGTCAGAATAGACTCATAGTGGATTTTCCAGAGACTGTGAATTACTCAGGAGGAGAGAACCTATTTCTCTCCCATAGAGCTACTGGTGGATTCAAACCACCAGGAAGGGTTTGGGTCAACTGTAGTACAACACCCTGTGGACTTGAATAACCAGCAGAGCTCCTTTTAGGACTAGAAAAATTTTTAAGTATGGTTTCCGTTCTAGGGTCAGCGTTTCCCTGTGTCACCAGTGAGGCACCCATGCTGCTCAGGCCTGCCTTGTCCTCAGCATGTCTAACTCCCAGCTCCTTCCAATCGGCTTCCTTATTAACACCCGTGAAATCAAGAAGAAAAAGAAAACTTCTCCCTCTAGAGTATTAAGAATGCATAGTTGTTTTGGTGTTTTAACTAAAACTTTTTGAAAAAAAATTTTTTTTAAAGGAGGGCAAGATAGTGAAATGGAAATTAAAAGAGACATTATGGTTGTTATTCTTTTACCGTATCATAAATATTATATGAGCCTTGCACAGTTCCATTTCTTAGATTTCCGTTAAACTGTCCTATGGACAGAGACAGGGGAGAGAAGCAGCATTTATATACAAGAAATATGGAAATAAATGCGGGAAGGTGAAAGCAATTCTGCTTCTCATCTTCCCCTGCATCAAGGGAAAGGCTTTTAGGACGTACCCCATAATGTTTGATGAGGTTCATTCTGACAGCAAGTTGCACAGCCAGGCAAAGAAGGCATTTAAAATGAAGAACATGGTTTACTATTTGCACAACCTAACGAATTATAGATTGTATGTTATTTTTGTGAACTCTGTTACCCTAGTGTCATTTACATCATGTGACCTTAGTTGTAAAATATTTAATAAACTGAGGATCCTATAATTTTTTTTCCAAGCTAACTTTAGTCTATTTTTTGGACAATTTTTTAAAAATTGTTATTTAAATGTGTAGAAGGATGTGATTCTTAGAAGGTTCCATTAGTCTATTTTATTTTCTCCTGGTTATAAGTTTTTCATTATTCTTGGAAGACTATTCATGCTGTGGATTAGGGCTTCTAGAGCTTTCTACCTTTTCTCTGATAAATTTTATTATCTTTGGTTTTATTTCTAGTTCCCTGATCCACCTTGAGGTGGTTTTTAAGGTGTAAGGTATGGGTCTTGCTTATGTTTTCTCCAGATGGTTTTCCAGTTATACCAACACCATTTTTTAAAGAGACTTTCCTTTCCCCACTTACTTGGTTCCATCTTCTTGTCAGAGATCAGTTGACCATAGGTGGATGAGCTGATTTCGGGGTTCTTGATACTATTCCATTGATCTGTATGTCTGTTGCTGTATTAGAACCATGCTGAAAAAATAAGGAAACCCAAAGACTGGGGAAAATATTTGGAAATGACATCTGATAAAGGACTTATATCTAAAATTTATAGAATACTCCAGAACCTTGACAAGAAAAAATGTAAAAAACCTGGAAGACAGTATGGTGCTTTCTCAAAAAGTTGCAAATAAAAAAAATGCTAGCGAGATAGTGGAGAGATTGGAACTTTTAATCACTGCTGATGGGAATGTAAAATAGTACGACCATTATGGAAGGCATACTGTTACATTATCAGAAAGTTGGAAATAGAAATACCACTTGACCCAGTACTTCCACTACTAGGAATATACCCTAAAGAAACCAGAGCTGCCACCCAAACAGATGTATCCACACCTATGTTTATTGCTATGTTATTCACAATATCAAAGAGATGAAAGCAACCTAAGTTCCTATCAACAAATGAAAAAAAGGAAAACTATGGTTTAGACACATAATGGAATACTATGCAGCACTGAAAAACAAGGAACTCATAAAATATTACAAAACATGGGTGCCCTTGACATTATGCTGAGTGAAATATTCCAGTCACAAAGGGACAAATACTGCATAACACCACTGTTATAAAACAGGACTGGCATGGGGGCTGGGGGGAGGAAACTGAGATAGAAGGGTATAAATAATGAATACTGCATTGGGACAGATGGAGGAAAGAACTATTTAAAAGGAATATGACAACAGTCCAGACTAAGAGGTATATAGCCAAGTGCATGGTGTGTGGGGGGGCGGGGGGAATTAAGCAGCAATGATTTTTTTAAAAAAAATGAACTGGGGGCATAAGGAATGAAAATGTGCAACAATGAATGAATGAAAATCCAGCTTTTCTATAAACTTTCATTAAAATCACAATAATGAAGGAAAAACAAAACAATAAAAAGAAATTACGATAGTTTTAGCTGTGTATATTTATTGTTACCTATAAACTGGGCTTACCAAAAATGTTTTTGTTGTGAAAACTTAACTCATTGATTTTTCATATAAAAGAAAAATAATGTTTCACATACAAAATTGTACTTTTAATAAAAGTTTACAGAAAAGTTTGGCTTTTGTTCACTCATTGTTGCACACTTTTGTCCCTTCCCTCTCCCCCAGTTCACTTTGCAATGCACTTCTTGTTCCAGGAGCCTATAATTTTAGGAAGATTTGCCCACTTTCCAGAACACCAGAGATTATTTAAATCGTGCCTCCCTGATCTACTATTATTATTATGATATTTAATCCTTGCATTTCCTTGTTTATTCTCATTTATAAAAAATGATAAATAAACCATGTGGCTGAAAGAATAATCGCCCTAAAGTCATCATGTCTTTATCCCTGGAATCTGCAAATAAAACCTTGCAAAGAAATGGAAATTTTGCAGGAGAGATTGTGTTTAAGGATATGGAGATTATCTCAGACTACCTGGGTAGGCCCAGTTTAATTACATGAACTCTAAAAGGGAAGAACTTTTCTCAGCTGAGATCAGAATCAGAAGGTATGACTATGGCAGAATGGGCAG